CCAGCACAAATACCCACTTCTAAGGAAACTTTCCCGCAGGAATGGGCTGCAGAAACCAGGAGGGCTGCACCCAAAGCGACCCTGCCCGGCCTCCAGCGCTGCCACGCACAGCCAGCGCCTCGGCAGGGAAACCCAACGGCACCCGTTTGCTGCCCAAAATGAACAGCCTTTTGCAGCCCCTGAAAAAGCAATTCGAATGTCATCGTAGCAGCAGCATCTCCTGGTCCCTGCCACTGCGGGGGGGATGCAAGGAGCTCGGATTCACAGCACCTCCAGAAACAAACTGGGAGAAAACGGGGTGACGAGAGGCAGGTTACCGAACGCGGAGCTGTAGGAATGACATCTCAGCACCAAGACCTCTAAAAAGTGGAATGGTGTCCTGGCACATTTGGAGATGTTTAAAAGCAGAGTAGGATGAAAGTTGCAACCCACAGGGGTTCAGAGCAGCTTCCAAAAACACGGTGCGAGGCAGAACACAGCGTGGCCACACAAACATGGCAGCCCCTTCTCTCTGGGAAGGTGGCTACCAGAGACATCACCCTGCTCCACGACGTGCCTGTACTTCTCTTTGGAAGCAACAACACCTTCGTAACACGTATAAAGGGGTTACCAGCAAACAGCTTTCCTACCCGGGAAGAGACCACGCTTGGCCAGCCCAAGCAGCGATGTTCACGCCTGTGAACTTACAAGAGGTCTTGAAACAACCCTGCCGAGAGGATAAACCAGCGGCAAAGCAAGCCAAAAGCTACTGAAGAGTTAAAGATCTGGGTAAATCAAGGGACACACTGTGATCTTGACTTTCATCCAGCGCCTGGGTACGGCGTGGATTGCTGGAAACCCACGCAGAGGTCCGGCCTGCCCGGCTGGTCCGGCAGCACGCGGCGGCAGCCGGAGCAGCAAATGGGCAGGGTGCAGGAAAATTCGGGTCTTCCCCGGGAGCTTGAAGTGCAAACTCCCCCTTAGGAGTAGCCAAGGGAGAGCAGAAAGGCAAAACTAATTGCAGGTTATGCAGCAGGAACAGCCAGGCAGGGGAGCTGTTTTACACACACCAACTTGCAGAGCCATCTTTATACATCTTTATTGCACACATCTATCCTTACATATCTCATGGGATGAGGCCAACTTCCCTTCCCAGGACAAATTATTTCTGCTTAATTCTGCCAAATCCATCTGTTCCCAAGACAACTTTTGTTACTGCCTAACATAGATATTTTGGAAGGGTAAATCTTCCCCTCATCCTCCCACCCTGCCTGCCCCCCTCCAGTTGCTGGATCACTCAGAACATTCCCTGGGTGATGCTCCGGCCACTAAAAGGGATTTTTTTCCTCCTGGCAAAGCTTGTGAGATGCCCAGGGACACAGCACCCCGCACCAGTGAGCTGGACCACACCACCTTTGCAAACCCCGCAAAAAGCCCGCACCTCCTCTCCCCCAGCGCCTACTAAAGCCACCCGCCCGGCGCAGGAGCTTCTCCAGCACCCATGTTTTATTTTCAGGCTTCCCGGCAACAAGCTCGTTGGTTCTAAGTGGCATCTCGAGTGAGAACGCCGGAGGTGAGCTAATTAGTGGGTGGCTGTCTGGAGCGGCAGCGAAGCGCCAGCCACCCCGGGCTCTGTTTGCTTTGGGTGCCTGATGGAGGACGACTGATCCCAGCGGTGTGCGAGTGCATGTTTGCATCGTACAGCCTGGAAGACATTTGCAGTGACTTGCAATTTGGGGGGAAAATACTGTAATTTATTCGCAGGCATGATTTACCATTGGTGTGGCATAAATATATGTGTGTGTATGTACACAGGTCTATTTTTAGAGCTGCACGGTCAGGGTGCCAGCTCCACGGTTACTCCATTGACAAACAGGATGAGCTCTTCCCTGAGCTGGGAGGTTTTCAGTCCTTCCCCTTATTGTAAACATTATCTGCCTTCAAAATCCTTAATGTGTTGCAGATGTGACAAACAATAAAAGACCTATCATAAAAAAAAGCCTGCCATCTCTGTGTTTCCCACTGGGGCAACATAATAATGAATTTATTAGCATATAGCGCTCACCAACATATGTTTATAGTCACTCACAAACTTTTGACTTGACAGTTTACAAGTATGTTTAAATCATTAAAGTTTAAGTTGACTGTCCAGTTATTACAGGCTCATTATAAATAGGAAACAAAGGTTACATTTTATACAACAGGCTATAAATCAAAACTAGTCTGTATTCAAGACTGGCTTTTTTTTTTTTTCCCCTTTTGCTCTTTTTTTGCCTCCACGTTTTCAAGACCTTTAGAGGGGACATCTCGGTGAGGCCAGTACCGAGCAGCTGTTTGCAGTTAGCTGGCAGGACCGGCAGCACCCACACCAGCGAGCAGGAGAAACTCCGCCTGCGTCCAAGAGATGCAAAGACCTCGGAGGTGGCAAACTCTGCCAAGGTTTTCATCCAACCACCAGCCAAACGCAGCGCCAACCCCAGGCACCCACCTCTCCTCCTCCCCAAGTCCATCTGCAAGGCTTGGGAAACCCTCTGCAAGGGAGGAGATCTCGGCTGCCACCACAGGGCAAAGGAAATTTCCCCCTAAGCTGAACAAAGCCTCTAAGAAAAGCAAAGCAAAGCATCCAAACTGTGTTCCCCAACTGCAAACCTTTGAAGGTTGGCAGAGGCACTCAAACTGCTCAAAGGTGGTTTTGGGGTTTGACCACTGCGCTACGACACAGAACCCCCAGCCATCCAGCCACGTTCCTGCCTTAACACTGCAGAGCATCCAGCACGGCATAAATCCAGGGAGTCACCACTCCAGCCGCTCCCAGTCCTTTCTGCCTCTATTACAGGGCAGAATCTCCTTGGGAAGGAGAGAGATAAAGCCACACTAAATGTAAAAGTTCATCTCACAAAGTATTTCCAGATTTCAAAGCCTGGCATAATTTCAAATCTGCGTGCTAACCTAAAATTTAGAATTTGTGGAAAGGGGAGGGGGGAAGTGTGGAATGGTTTCTGGTCCCTTTTATTTCAAGCCGTGTACATGTGATACGATATGATGGAAAAAGAATTAATCGAAAAATACCCTTCCAAAGTAAAAAGAAATATCATTCTCAAAAATGTTGAGAGTGAGTATTTCCACACCATCAGCAACTTTTCCTGGGCTTGCTTCCAACATAAAACTTGAACAGAGTCACAGTTAATATCCAATACCAACCAAATAGGATTCTGTCACTGTCAGATCAGCTTTGACTTTCTGATCTAAAGCAAAACACAAAAAAACAGAGCATTACGGCATGGGCCAGTGAGAAAGCACCAGAAAGCGTCCCTGGCCACCACGATGGCACAGCTCGTGTCCTCTGAGACCACTCAGTGTTGGACAAACCTCAACGCTCTCAGCAAACTGAAAGACTTAACCTGCCGGGAACACAATGCCCCAAAGCCACTGCTGCCTTAAAGTTAGTATTTACCCATCCTGTAGCAAAGGCAGCAGCAAACACCCTCCAGCAGAGCAGCACAGGGAGGACAAGTCCTCTTTTCCTATTACATGTTCACGTACCGCAGTGACAAGAGAGGTCTAAATTGCTAGACAGGCAGGCTATCGGGGAGATCAATACAGTGATTAAACTAGCCTAGAGAGACAGAAAAAGGCAGAAAGGATTATATATACACGGCTTCAGAGATCACTGATGATATTATGGGGAAGGCTATAAGAGGAAATTAGAAACATGTTAAAAATAGCATAAAGGTGTGACACGAAGATCACAGAAAATGAAACACGTATCTCTGCTTTCGACTCAGGACGATGTGGATCACCTGTATTTCTTTAACATACACTTTGATATTCAGTTCTTGGATGAAATAAAGTACATTTTATCCTTCTCTGAATTCTATACCTCTCTTTCAGACTTGAAGTGGAAGATTTAAAAAGTATTTTCTTTCCCTTACCCAATATTTGAATATACGTATTTTATATATTTTACATAATGTGTCAATAATCTTTGATATGAAACTGGCATTTAATATTTCAGCTCTCACTTCATTAAGGATATTTTAATTATCCCAGACCAATGGAAGGGAATTTATAAACATCTGTGCTTCGTTTAAGAGCCCAAATTTGCCTCTTAAACTTCAAAGCTGTAAAGCTGATTTTATCCAGGTTCAGTTGTCTGGTCTCTCGAAGAGCAATGTTCAGCACTGGAACGAGCATTAATTGGGACAAGCCTCCAGCCCACAGACCCATGTCCAGCGGATGCTGCTCATCCATGACGGACACAGCCTCAAACAGCCCGGTTTTGCTCACGCAAGCAAAACTGATGATGCTGCCGAGCTCCACGGAGCCAGGAGGAGGATGGCAGTGGTTAGTGGGTTGGGGAGAAGGCACACGCCAACAGCATGTGCGACTGCCCAAGTTGCAACTGGTCCTTTGTTTTCTCCTCCCAATGGGTGACCAGGGACTACCTTATTAATAATGTAGACTCGAAGCACTAGGAGAGCTTCATGGACATTTTCAAAGCAAAGACATGACTCATACTGGCAAGCAATGCAATTTTAGGCTCCTGAGTACCTAAATCACTTCTGCAAAATGAGCCTGAGTTATTTGTAAAAAATCACCACGGGTCTCTGGATCAGAAATAACCATAATTTACTTCAGTCAAACAATCCTTACCGACTTTCTGATGCCCTCCAGAAAGAAGAAAAGCTCATCTCTAAGCTCATGAGCATGAGCAGCCAAGGGAAGGAGAGAAGAGAGTGACTCTGGGACCTACAGCAGGTTTGTAACCTGCCTCAAACCCTCTCCCATGGCTTGCCCTCAAGACCCCTGCAAAACCAACCTGGAAAAGCAGTGGCATTACCTCTCCAGCTGCTGTCCCTGCTGGCACCGAGGCCAGCCGGCACGATGCCGAGCACAAACAGGCATTGGTGGTGCCTGCAATGCGTGGACCTGAGCAGACTCTAGAAAGCACCTCCCTGCACCATCACCAAGACCTACAACCCTCAGAGGGGCAGCTGCTGTGGGACCACCATCCCCATCACCTGCTAAGAAACGGAGCTGGTTCCTCACTCGCAGCTCTCCATCCCCGGAGCCTCTGCCACAGTCATCTTCGTCGTCGCAATCTCCGCTCTCCTCCTCCTCCTCCGGGGTTTTGCCTGGAGCTTTTCGGTGGGGCAAAGCCATCCCTTTGAGCAGCTGAAAGACATGAGGTGCCACAGTCATTCAACAGCTTCTCCCCTACCCCTTCATCCCGCGCTCGCAGGGGGATCAGGTGACAGAAGGGGGATAGGACTCGGTGGAGCCAGGACGGTGGCACATCGCACCCCTCAGGCCAAAGCATTGACGAGCTCAGGTTCATTCATGAACAAAGCTGCACGCAAAACCTCAATGGAAGAAACAAAAGGAGAAGGAAAAACCACACTGAGCAACTCTGCCCTTCGGCTTCTCCTCAGCAAGCATCGCATGAGCTGGAGCACGTCTACCAGCCGTGCGAGACCCCAGTGCCACCCAAGCTCAGGAGACGGCTACAAAACACATGTCCAGAGCTAGGCCAGATGGGGCAAAAACCAGCAGCAAGAGGAAGCTTGTTCAGGGGACTGAATATCCTCACTGCTTTCAGGGACCATCTTCCATCTCAGAAGTAACATGCGTGAAAGGAAAAGGTAGATCTGTCAGGCGCACCACAAACATAACCTAAAAATCGCATTCCTCACTGCTGAAGTGCAGAGGATGCTAGTCAAAGTTTTGGGGATAGCCAAGCAACACAACAAAAGGATCTTTTAAAGGATGTTTTAAAGCTGAGTCCTAACTAACGGTGACAGGTTGCACACCCCCGAGATGGGGACCTGAATACCTGCACTGAGCACGGGGTCAGGACCGCTTTCCAAACACGGGTGGGAGCTCCCCACGCTGCTCCTTCGCAGCGCACGGAGGATTAAACGCATTTTAAGCTATCGGCTTCCTCTTCCCGCCGACTTTTCTGATTTTGCTATTGCTGAAAGCAGCCAGCTATTTCATCATAAACCCAGATCCACTTTGAAAAAGTGTGAGTCAGCCAGTTAATATATGCTGAAAATTTCTATCACTACCACTCTGCTGTTAAAAGCCTTCTTGAATTTAATCTTGGTACTAAAAAAAAAAAAAAAAAGAAATAATGAAAAGGATAAGTAACAGAGAAGATATTGCAAAATGGGAGCTTTCCGCATACTTCAGGGGTTTAGTTAGTTCCATCTATTGCAGCAATGTGCTGCCTTTCAAGGCATTTTTTAATATCTGGAATCTAGGTTATATTTTTAAACTATTAAGCTAGCCTTAGAAAACAGTTTCTAAAATATTTAGCTGCTGAAGTTTATACAACCTTGGAGGAATGCTTTTGGCATCTGGCTCGTTCTGTCCATGGCAATGTCCACATACCTTAGTGTTTATATTAGAGGAGCATAACGTAATGAAAAACAAATGGCTCGACGTGAGACCCCTTCGCGTTCCCCGGCCGCATCAAACAGCGCGACAAGCCTCTCCTTGGCACGTGCGAAAGTCCACCCGGCGGGACAGCCCTGCCGGGTCCCGCATCCGTGGTAGGAAGCAAAACGCAGCTCTTCTCCCTGAAAGTCAGGGGATGCTTTTCCGTGGACTTCAACAGGCCTTGTTCAGACCCGTTAAGTTCACTCTTCAGGAACTTTATTTTATTTAGACATTTACAGGCTTTTCCCTGAATACCAGGTAACCAGAAAACAACCACCAGCAAACAAACAAAAGGCAAACGCAGCACTGGGGGTAGCACGGGGAAGACCTTGCGCAGGAACCGAACATGCCGACAGCTCAAGCCTTTACGCCATCGCGTGTATTTCTCTCCTCCAAACGAAGCCCACAGCTAACAGAAGCCCTCAGCACAGAGTGTATCAGCTCCAGGTATAGCGAGGGTCTCCCACACACAGCAGCTAATTACAACACGCACCAGTTCAAACCCATTGCCCCAGTGCACCATTGCTAAAAAATCCAAGCCCATCATGGTGGAAGGGAACGGCGACCGCTCAGCGGCAGGATGCTCCAAGCCGGCCGGGACCCCACCGCACGGCTCAGCGGCATAGCTTTCATTACTTACCCAAGAGAAGAGGAACTTTCTGGCAGAGAGAATTAAGCTTTGGGATATTTTCAGATTTAATAAGCTCAGCAGGAGGTGGGGGAAAATCAGGATTTTTCAGTTGTGTGTTTTCAAATGTTAAAATTACTGAGCATTTCTTGTATTACTACTTTTTTCTTGGCACGCCATAAATTAGCAACTTAATTTCTTTGCCTCTGTAGCCACAATAAAACAGGAACTTTCTGAGAAATGCCACATGGGCCCCAACTTTGGATCGGGTGAACGTGACATCCCTGCGTGATGCAGCTCCTTCCTTTTCCAGGACAAAAGCTCCATCCTCAGCCACGTGCTCCCCAGCTGCTGATAAACACGGGGAGGTTTAATCAGTCAAATTTTGCAGCTGGCTCTGGGAGAAATGAAGCCCACGACACAAAACCTACTGGCAGCGTTAGCAGGAGACCTGGCGCGGGGTGGAAATCCCACCCCGCTCCGTTGGTGCATCCGGACCCAGGAACGCTGTCGGCTGCCTCGGCTTC